GCTGCCGCGCAAAGGCGGCCGCTCGGTCGCGCCCTTGGCGCGCCGGTGCGCGGGATCGACCAGTGCGGACTGCAGGCCCGGGTGCAGTCCTCCAGAAGACTGTCGCGCACCATTCCTGTGCCATATTTTGAATGCCCGCGCTGAGGCAGGCTGAGGCCGAGGCAGGCTGAGGCCAACGCAGGCTGAGGCTGAGGCTGAGGCAAGCTGAGGCTGCGGCAGGCTGAGGCTGAGGCTGACGCAGGCTGAGGCCAAGGCAGGCTGACGATGAGGCTGAGGCAGGCTGAGGCTGGAGCAGGCTGAGGCAGGCTGAGGCTGAGGCAGGCTGAGGCTGAGGTTGAGGCAGGCTCAGGCTGAGGCTGAGGCTGAGGCTGATGCAGGCTGAGGCCGGGAGGCTGACGCTGAGGCTGAGGCAGGCTGAGGTTGAGGCTGAGGCTGAGGCAGGCTGATGCTGAGGCAGGTTGAGGCTGAGACAGGCTGACGCTGAGGCTGAGGCAGGCTGAGGCAGGCTGAGGCTGAGGCCGAGGCAGGCTCAAGCCGAGACAGGCTGAGGCTGAGACTGAGGCTGAGGATGAGGATGAGGCCGAGGCCGGCCGAAGCTGACACAAGGTGAAGCTGAATGGGGGGGGGAAGGGGAAGGGGGGGGGAAGGAGGGGAGGCGGAGGCAAGCTGAGGCTGAGGCAAGCCGAGGCACGCTGAGGCTGAGGCTGAGACTGAGGCAGGCTGAGGCCGAGGCAAGCTGAGGCTGAGGCTGACGCAGGCTGATGCCGAGGCAGGCTGAGGCTGAGGCTGAGGCTGAGGCTGGCTGAGGCTGAGGCTGAGGCAGGCTGAGGCTGAGGCTGAGGCAAGCCGAGGCAGGCTGAGGCTGAGGCTGAAACTGATGCACGCTGAGGCATCCGTAGGAATCCATAGGAATCCTTGGGAATCCCTGGGATTCCTTAGGAATCCGTAGGCATCCTTAGGAATCCGTAAGCATAGTTAAGCATCCTCCGGGATCCTCCGGAATCCTTAGGAATCCTTAGGATTCCCTAGGAGTCCTTCCCCAGGAATCCCTAGGAATCAGGATTCCTAAGGATTCCCAATATTTCTGAAGGATTCCTATGGATTCCTAAGGCTGCCTAAGGATGCCTTAGGAATCCTTAGGAGTCCATTGGATCCTAAGGCCGTTGCCACTGCGACTGTCATTGCGAATGCGACTGCGGGAACAGCAGAACTCTACAACTGGATTATCACCTGAATCTTAAGGGGCATGCTTCCAGATCTGCTTACACACGTCGCTGCTAGGTTGCTTTGCCGGGATATTTTATTGTTGAACATACCCCTGTAAGGGGACAGGCCCGACTAACGCTACTCCCTGGACCTCTCCCGGGGCGCGTTCTGGCCCGCATTTCGAGGCGAATCTACCGGTGGCGAAGAGGGCCCCCCATGGAGGCCCAAAAAAGGAACTCGGCCGAAGGGCAGCGGCATGTGTACCTCTGCCTCCTCTGAGCTCCATATTTTGGGGAGAAGAGGGCGTGGCACCGAGGGGGGGCCGAGCAGCCCTACGGCGGCGCCGAGTGGGAGCGAAAGCTGCCGCGCAAAGGCGGCCGCTCGGTCGCGCCTTTGACGCGCCGGTGCACGGGATCGACCAGTGCGGACTGCAGGCCCGGGTGCAGTCCTCCAGAAGACTGTCGCGCAGCAAAATACTTTCAATCGCGGAGCGAGGCTCCCGCCGATGCGACGCAGTCTCACCAGCCCTTTAGGCCGTAGGTCGTTTAGGGTGTTTCCTCTTCCACCCCCTTCTTCCAACCCCTCCCCTGGACCTTGACGGGGGGGGTCCGCGAGCGGTCAGGACGTCCAAAACGGCTCCCGCCGATGCGACGCAATTCTTTTTCTCTTTCCTCCTTAGGAGGAAGCTCCTGGGAGGCTTTCGATAGAACCACGAAGCCTGCCGAGCCAGACCAGGCCCTGAAGGAGATTCACGAGCTGCCGCAGTGAACCGCCAACGGATCACTGCGGCGGTTAGCGAACCCGTTGCAGAGGCGCCCACGGGCAGACAGCTTGCCGAGGTGCTTGTCAATCTTGTCGTGGGGGGGTCCTGGACGCAGTCGCATCGGAAGGACTTCGGTTTGATCCCCGATGACTTTTACCTTTTACCCCATGTGCAAGAGAGCGCGGGAGGACCCCCTGCCACAGCTCGCCATCGCTCGGACGTCCATTCCCTGTTTTTGTTCGGCTTCGTGCGTGGTTTTTTCGCCAAATGATCGAGGATGCTCCTCGAGGGTCCTCGCCGAGGAAAAAACGCACACGTCCGAGCGATACCAAGCCTCTGGGTGGCATGAAATTGACCCGCCAACACATGATGGGGGACTGGCATACACTCGGCATCAATGACAGTGAATTGCTCTCAGGGTGTCTAGGAGTGGGGAGCGAGGATGCCCTGTGGTTGTCTTCGGAATGGGCCTTGCTGTGGGCACCGTGTCATCTTTCACAGCGGTTATCAACTCAGCTATTTACGGGCTCGTGGCTGGGCCACAACAACCTGATCCTCGGGGAGAGCTGCGTTGTCTTGAGCAGGGCTCCGTCGTACGCGTGTCGGGTAAGGAGGCGATGGTGGAAGGAGAGCTTGTGTCCGTTCGGGGATTATCTAGGAGTTATTACACCAGCAAGACAGACCAGCCCAACATATCGTGGTGCGTTGGGTCCTGTCCTATCTTACCCCGTCTGAAGTCCAAGCTCGGCAATGTTTCATCTCACATCGTAGTGGGGAGCGGGTGAAGATGAGGGATCGGGGATTGCTGCGGAGCGTTGTCGGTTGCCGCGATGCCAAAGGATCAGTGTCTTGGAAGAGGAAGGCAAATCTCGTCTCGTGCGTAAGAAAAGTATGTGAGCCATTCGAACGGCACGGGTGCGACCAACAGGAAGCTTGATGCTCCTCCTTCGTCCGAGCCTGCTGGTCCTCCTCCTCCTCCTCCTCCTCCTCCTCCTCCTCCTCCTCTCGCTCCCCCTCCACAGCCAACCGCCCCCTGCTGGTATTGCCCTTTTCACGTCCGCCCACCAGCTTGACCCCGAGGGAATGCGTCGTCTCAGGTGGTTTCCGACAGCTCGCAGGGCTTCCAGGACTTGGAAGTTGGGCACCGAATGCTTCTCTCCCAGTATCATCAAGGCGGATATGTACAAGGCGCCCCAGGATCAGGAGCTGTTTAGATCGGTGGCGGGCTCACGCATGGCACACACATATCACGATGGATAGTGCTGTTAGTCGTGTGGTCTTGTTGCAGGTGCATTCGTTTTCGGGGCTGAGCAAAGTCGAGCTCTTGCTGAGCCTTGTGTGGGAGCTCAGCTCAGCTCACGCCCAGGATCCAGCGAGGGACCCCACAAGACAAAAACTAGCAAACCGCGTCCCTCGCCATTCTGTTCACGACGCGAAGATTTGGTCGGCCTAGCAGGGGGTCCAGCTGAAAGGAGGTGGTGCAACATATTTGGTCAAATGTATTGCAAATTTACTGCGCCAGAGACTTGTATTGCATTGATTTACAACTAATGCATTGCACGCGAAAATGCAGCAATACATCTTCGCCTCGAAATGTCTTGCACGCCCCAATTCTATTGTAAGTCACAAATCGAATGCACCAGATCGGTTACACCACCCCCTCGTAGCTGACCACCTGTTGGGTCAACCAAAGAGGACGCCTAGACTCCCTCCCGTGCCCGTGGATAGCCACCACCCGCAGTGACAGGCTGGCGCAGCGGCGGGACCTGCCGCGTGCAGCTGGACGAATGCTCTGGCCGCCCAGGGGGGGGGGGGCCAGGCAGGCACAACCGGCAGCAGAAGAAGGCTCCCAGCGTGGCGATATCCTCCCTTCGTTTCAAGGTACGCTTTACGAAAAGACGAAGCAAGGACGAAGACAACATGGAGTGGGGAGACATCGAGAATCTCTGAGATCCGAAGGCTCTGGAGAATGCCTCGGGCGTCGCGGCCTGATCAGAGAGTTCCAGAACGGTCTAAAAGCCTCCAGGAACTCTCGGGAACGGACTTCTATGGAGGAGCGAAAAACGGCATTAACATACACCTTTGGCGGTCCGCGTGGATTTCTTGGATCTAAGCTTGACCCCCCCCCCTGGCGTGCGGAAGGCGCCAAGGCCGGCGCCGGAGGTGCCGCCGGGGGGGCCCAGCGCGGATCCAAGAAATCCGCGCGGAGCGCCAAAAGTTGATGTTTGGGGCGTTTTTTCTTCTTCGATTTATATTCGTCCTAGGCCTGTCCGACACGATTCCTCCTCCCAGTGGGAAAGACGGAGACCACCGCCGCCGAGAACCCGTCGAGGGGGTGTGGGCGACCCCTGGACGGTGGCACGCCTGGGGTTCTCGGTAGCCGTGGTTTTAGGTCGGGCATGTCCTCCTACAGGCTGATTTTGGAAGAAAATTGAGAAATAGTCAGAACATGTTCAAACATAATCAAACATAATCGAAACATCGTCCCGATGTTTGAAGATTCCTCCGGTAGAGAAAAATGCCCCACTGAACAAGGGTTTCTTGTCTCAAGACTCCGATATCACGTCATGAGTTTTGTTACATTACGTGAAGCCACAGAGGTCGACCCACTCACCTGGACCAACTGTCATCCTGAATCACATCTGGACATGAACTGCAGACGAACCCAGGGCCCGGCGAGGGCCGCCAAAGGCCGAAAATAAGCAACATGAGCTCCCGTTGTTGTTGGGCTTTCTTTTACACAAGAAACAAAAAGGGATCTGGGTGTTTACCCGCTGACATTCTGCACTCTCGCGTCCACGCCTTGTTGGACCCCAGGAGCTCCCGTGGTTGTTGGGCTTTCTTTTGCACAAGAAGCAAAAGGGACCTGGGTGTTTACCCGCTGATCTTGGCATCGCTCGGACGTGTGCATTTTTCCTTCGGCGAGGACCATCGATCAGCTGGCGAAAAAACCACGCACGAAACCGAAACAAACACAAGGAATGGACGTCCAAGCGATGGCCAGTGACATTCTGCACTCTCGCGTCCACGCCTGGTTGGACCCCAGGAGCGGCAACTCCGAGAAGGGCGGCACAAAGGGCAAATGCGTCTGCTCGCGCGACGCGCGCACCGTGCCGTGCCGGAGCGACTCGACGGTGTCCTCTGGCTGGGCTCGCACCTGCTCCTTCTGCTGCTCCTCCTCCTCCGCCTTCTCCGTCCCCCCTACTCCTCTTCTTCCTCCTCCTCCTCATCCTCCTCGAGCTCCTCCTCCTCCTCCTCCTCCTCCTCCTCCAGCTCCTCCTCAGGGCTGGCCCCCCCCCGTCCCTTTATGTTGCTCCCATCGTATTCAAGGACCACATCTCAGAAAAAAATTCGAGCATCCAGAAAAGTATCGAAAGAGTCTCGAAACAGTGTCGGAAGAGCGACTCCCAGGGCCCGACGCGTGAAAACCCTCGAGCTCTGGGGTGTGTTCTTCGTGCTCGCAATTCATTATGGTGATCAAGGCTGAAGTGGGTTGGAACATCATAACCTTATGTCGGGCGTGTCCCCCTACAGGGGGATCTTCGACGAAAAATTGAAAATACCCAAATGATGCCCCAAAAAGCCAAAAAAATACTCAACAGAAGTTCCCAGACTATTTTTGAAATATTCTTTGAATATTTTTGGAGTATTTTTCATTTTTCGTAGAAAATCCCCCTGTAGGGGGACAGGCCCGACTTACCCTCCCCAGAGGCCCCCATCCAGGAGGCCTCCGGCAGATGGGCGGCAGGCCCCGGAGCAGGAATCCGCGCGCGCGCTCGGGCGGGGCGCGGGGCCACCGGGCCCCGCGCCGGCGAGGGAGGGGCGATAAATATATATATATATATATATATATATATATATATATATATATCTGAAGGGGAACTTGGACACACAAATAAACACACAAATAAAAGGATTCCCTATATTTTCCCATATTTTCTAAGTTTTGGTCTCTCCCCCACTTCCCATAATTTCCCATATTTTCCGGGGAATCGACGATGTAATTGTGTCTGTGTGTTTCTCTCCCTCCTGATAATTATTCGGGGGCCGACGCGCCCCCGCCAGGGGGCAGAATAACATAACCACACCCGAGAAAACCCAAACGAGTGGACGATTTGAGACTTTTAGTCATCTGGATCTTGAGATCGACTGTGAGGTCGACAAGGAGATCGATCGTGGAATCGACAGCTGACGAACTGTAAGGTCGATCGTGAGACCGAGAGTGCCATCGATTCAGTGAGATCGATGGGGAGATCGATCGCGAGATCGCTCGTGCGATCTCTAGTGAGATCGCTTGCGAGATCGATTGAGAGATCGACTGTGAGATCGATAGAGAAGTGGGAAATGAGATCGATGCTGAGACCGATCGATAAGAAGATCGACCAAGACCCCGGGAACCTGGGAACCTCGCCGCCCACCGAAATCGGCCCGGGAACCAAGAACCCGAGAACCCGGAACCGGGAACCCGGGAACCCGGCCTGCCACCAAAATCGGCGTGAAACATTCGCCTTCTCTTTCAATATCCGCTAGGACCCCTTCAGTGCAAGCACTGATTGGGAAATTAGTGTTAGGCCGGGCCTGTCCCCCCACAGGCGGATTTTGGCCGAAGAATAACAAATCGTCAAGGCATGCCCCAAAGATGCTCAAAAATACCAACGAATAGTTCCCCGACTATTTTTTCCACTGTTTTGGAATATTCCTCCTCTAGAGGGACGGGCCCGCCTCAAAATCAGTGCGCACCCCCACGCTCCCCCAACACCCACAGCTGGCACGCGCGGGGAAGACGGCGGTCGAAGTGCGCTCGTTCCACCCGCCGTCAACATTGATCACTGGGGGGGCGTCGACAATTGAATGCGGCATGAAAGCTCGCTGATCTCTTCCGAGGCCTGCACAAAGAGGGGTCTGTCGTAATGGGGCTGCAAAGCAGAAAAGGGGTCCGCCGTACTGGGGCTGCAAAATAAAAGGGGTCTGTCGTAATGAGGTCTGCCTTAGTGGGGCCGCAAAACAAAAGGGGGTCTGTCGTACTGGTACTGGTCCCATCGAAACCTCTGGCACAAAAAGGGGCCTGTCGTAATGGGGCTGCAAACAAGAGCATGCAACAATGCCATCCCACGGCTCATGGCGCGTGGCCTCTCTCGTGGATCAGCGATGCCAAATGCAACGCGCTCTGCCCACACCCAGCACCACCCGGCACGAACGACTGCACGAACGAAGTGCGTAGTGTTTGAGACCCCCTTTTGCAATTCACCCCGTCGCCCGCATCCGACTACGCCTATCCCTTTTTATTTCGGGCGGGTGGTCCTGGGGGGGACCCCGATGCGGGGTGAAGAGAAGAGCCAGCAGGGGCCCAAAAGGGGCCCTCGAGGGCTCCCCCTCCTCCTCCTCCTCCTCCTCCTCCTCCTCCTCCTCCTCCTCCTCCTCCTCCTCCTCCTCCCCCTCCCCCCCCCCAGGCTGCCTCCAGACGCTGCTGCCCCCCCTGATAAGGGGGCCCTCGAGGGCTCCCTGTTTGGAGCCAGCAGGGGCCCCAAAGGGGCCCCGAAGGGGCCCCTTTGGGGGCAGTGTTCCTTGACCCCCCATTCATTGGGGGCAAACAAACCTACCTCGCTTTTGACCACCCTCGCTTCCAAGAGATACCAAGCGATGCCAAACCACGGCCTGTACTGGTCAGGCCGCTTGACGAGGAGGCGTATGGTATGACTTGGTTTTGCCTGGAAGCGAAAGCGGGGTAGGTAATTCACGCTCTGAATTCAGGTCACCCCCCCACCTGCCATCCCCTTTGGACGCCCGAACTTCGGGTCGGGCGAAAGGGGGGGGATAGCAAAGGGGGGGCTTGAGAATCAGCCCACGTAGCCGATTTTCCAGGCGCCTCCCAGCGCTGGGGGCGGCTGTGTATCGAGGAATGGGCCCCTCGGTGGGGCCGAAACCAACTGCATGCAGCAAATTTCGTAACCCCCCCTTTCCCAATCCCCCCTTTCGTCCGGCCCGAGAAATGGGCACGGAAACAATGGGCACAATGCCCAACAGCACATGTTGTCCCGAACCGACAGCGGCCGCTGTTGGGCGGGCGGCCTTCTGTCTCGAATGGGCACAGGCCGCGGCGGCGCGGACAGCGAGTCCTGTTCAAAATGAACAGGAACTGCTGCTGGGCATCGTACCCATTCTTTCCGTGCCCATCTCGTTCGTGCAGATCCCCCTCTGATCGCTGCCCCCGACGCCCCCCCCGGCCAGTCCGGTGGCAGCCGCAGGAACGCGTCCAGGAGGCCCTCGGCAGCCCGCGCGGAGAACGCGCCCCGCAGCAGGGCGGCACCGCAGGACCTGGCGGCGCCGGCCCCCGTCGATGACTCTCAGGCCGGCCCGCGTGCTGGCCCCAGCCAGAAGACGAAACCAGGACGAGGACACCCTCGGGTGCGGATGACTCGAGAATCTCTGAGCCCCGGCGGCTCTGGAGTTCTTTCGGGCGTCGCGGCCTTCTCAGAGCGTTCCAGGACGCTTGGGGAGCGTTCCGGAGTGCTCTGCAACGGATTCATCACCGTCCTAGCCCCGTCCGATTGGGCCCCAAGAAACAAAAATCGTCCCATTCTTTTGGCAAAAAAAAGAAGCATTCTTCGCATACTCGACTTTTCGGCTTTCACAACGTCCAAGACGGGCAAAGAACCCTTCAATATCGCCCCCGGTCGGCCGAAGGGGCCCCGAAGAGGGGTCGAAGATGTTCCAAAAACAGCCCACGAAGCCCCCAAGACAGCCCAAGTGGGCCCCCAGACGGCTCCAAGAGGGAGTCCAGAGGGCACATGTTCGAGCCTTCGGGCCCAAGACGCCCCCAGCCAACCCCAAGAACACCCCAAGAGGCCCTGAGGGACCCCCAAGAGAACCTCAAAGGCCTCCAAGACACCCCCAGGAAGCCCCCAAGAGGAAGAGGCCCCCAAATTTGGCCCAAGATGCCTCGAGGAGGCCGGATATGACCTGCAGACAGGCCAAGATGCCACCAAAAGGCAACAAAAGAGCACCAACAGGTGCGACAACAGCAACGCAGCTCCAGAAACGATGTCGAGCGCGGTGTCATGATTCGGACAAGCGTCGTGAAATTCAGTCCTGGAGGCGCAATAGTTTATACAGGGGTCGGCGGATGTGGCGTAAGCCTTTCGAGTCCTCGTCTGGAAATGACGCGTTGCCGGAGGCAGGTCGCGCAGCGGAGCGGAAGCCCTAATGCAATCGACCCAATGTGTCCAATGATTGCATAATTGCCACGTGTTGTATTGTGTTTTACATTATTATGTCCCCCCCCTACTACCCCCCCCCCCCCCACGCCACGCCACATCCGTCGACCATAGATGGTGAACCCTTTCTGGGGCCCAAAAACTTTCAATAAACCTATAAGAAATCAGCAAATTCGGCCTCTTGGGCCTCTTGGGCCCCCACAAGGTTTCAAGACGGCCCGAGATGGCCCCAAGACAGCCCAAGACGGCCTCAAGACGGCCCAAGATGGCCCCAAGAGGGCCCATGAGGCCCCCAAGAAGACTCCCGAGAGCGCCTCCGGAGGCCAAAATCTTTTGATTTACCCATAGTTCTGGGACAATTTCAACGTTCTCGCCTGTTTCGGCTCTCAGAAGGCCATGGCGGCCCAAGCAGCCTCCAAGAAGGCCCCCAAACGGCCCAAGAGGCCTCCAAGGGGGCGCCAAGACGGCCCAAGAGGGCCCCGAGACGGCCAAACAAAAACCTCCAAGACGGCCCAAGAAGCCCCAATACGGCCCCAGAGGACCCCAAGAGAGCCCCGAGGCGGCCGCGAGAGGCTTCCCAAGTGGCCCCCGAAGTGGCCATACGGCGTAAGAGCGCCTAAAGACGGCCCGAGACGCCCCCAAGAGGCTCTGAGGCACTCCAGATAGATCCATAGGTCTGGAGGGCGATACTTTAGCACTGTGGAAGGTCAGGGTCATCGGGGGGACGGGGACAGGCTCCTTAGCAGCACCCCTGCCCCTCAGGGGGCGCGGGCCGCCTGTGTCGGCGGTGGACAAACCTCCCCTTAGTAAACCTCCCCTTAATGAAAACGGCCTGGGACCGAAACCGATGGACCTGGACCCGCAAAAATGACGGCCGCAGCGCCCTCTCGCGAACCGAAAACGGCCAACTCCTTAAATCGACGTGTCAGGGTAGGAGGTCTGTCCACCCCCGATCATCGGGGGGACGGGGAAAGGCTCCTCAGCAGCACCCCTGCCCCTCAGGGAGCGCGGGCCGCCTGTGGGCCAGATCCCAGCGCGCCTGCCGGTGGCGGGGGGGCCCGTGCGGGCCCGCAGCACACGCCACTCCGGCGGAGGGCCGCTCTCACGCGCGGCCGATCCTCTGGCGCCGCTCTCCGAGTCGGGTCGAGCCGTGCGGGCCCCGGGGCCCGACGCAGGTCTGGAGCGCCCGGCTCGCGGCGAAGACTGCGACGCAGGGATTCGGCCGTGCGTTTGCTCCTACAGGCGGTGCTTGGGAGAAAGATTAAGAATGGTCAAGAACTAATGAACTATAGTTTTCTTTTTGATATTCTATATATAATCTAAACACATATATATATATATATATATATATATATGTATGTATGCATGCATGCATGCATGCATGCATGCATGCATGCATGCATGCATGCATGTATGTATGCATGTATGTATGTATGTATGTATGTATGTATGTATGTTTATATATAAATATACATGTGCTTGAACAGCGCCCACAGGCTATACTCGGACTATGTTTGACGAGTCCTCCTGTAGAAGGACGCGCCCGCCTTATGGAAGCAGGTCAACAACGCCAGGCCCGAGACACCTGTGACGCCAGGATCTCAGGGCAGGCCCCGGAAGAGGAGGAGGGAGGACGAGGGCGAGAGGAGGAGGGAGGACGAGGACGAGAGGAGGAGAAGGGAGGAAGGAGGAGGGAGGAGGGAGGAGGGAGGAGGGACGAGGGAAGAGGGATGAGGGATGAGGAGAAGGGAGGAGGAGGAGGAGGAGGAGGAGGAGGGAGGAGGAGGAGGAGGAGGAGGAGGAGGAGGAGGAGGAGGAGGAGAGAGGAGGAGGAGAGGAGGAGGAGGAGGGAGGAGAGGAGGAGGAGGAGGGCCCGAGGGAGCCGCCGCCAGGGCCGCCGAGTGCCTCCGACGGCCCTTCGGCGGCGGCCCCGCGGCGCGCGGAGGCCGCCGGGGGGGCCTCAGCGCGCTGCCGTGGGCGGCGGCGCCGGGCCCGAGGCCCACCGCGGCGGGGTCGCAGTCGCCCCACGTCCTGGACGCGTCCTGAGGCGCGGGCGGCGACGCCGACGACGACGACGCCGACGACGACGGCGACGAGGACGGCGACGGCCTGCGACGGCTGGCAACCGCCGCCGCCGTCGTCGGCGGGCGTGGTCGGCGCCGTCGCGGTCGGCGGGGGGAGGGCCGTCGGCGGCGGCGGCCTCGGCGGCGCGGCTGTCGCGGCCGCCGCGGGGGCGGCCGCGGGTCTCCTCGTCTCCTCGTCCTCTCCCTCCTCGCCCTCGTGTCCCTCCTCCTCCTTCTCTCTTCCTCGTCTCCTCGTCCTCTCCCTCCTCCCCCCTCCCAATCCCCCGCCGACGGGGCGCAGCTCCGACAGGGTCGTCGGAGTTGGGCACGCTCGGCCGCTGAATGGGATCGATCCTCAGCCCCGTCGGCGGCCGAAGGGACTCGGACCCCGATCGGGTTCAGAAGGGAACCGCGGGGCATCCGCAGCTCGCGCTTGTCGCCCATCACCCCCTACATCCTCTGGTTGTGGGCCGTGCGAGCTCTTTGGGAGCTCTCTTGTGGCGAACATCCTGCCCGTGTGCTCAGCGTGGGGTGGCGGTGAATGAAGGCGACCCCTCCGCTCCCCCTCCTGGTCGCTCTGCAGGTCTGTGCCTCCCAGCCCAAGAGCGCATCTAGACTCACGAGCGGACCCCTCTGCGAACCGAAGCGAGGACATGAAGCGCCTTGCCGCGGCAGAGCAATGCGTGGAGCGACGAGGGGGGAAATCATAAAAACGAAGGCGAACGCGCGGAAATGCTGGCTTCCTCTGTCGTTGTCACCATCGCCGTCGCCGTTGTCGCCGCCGTCACCGTCGTGGTCGCCATCCTCCGTGCCTCCTCCATTTCCTGTGATCCGACGCTGCAGAAAAAATCGCAGGATCGCACAAAATCACGACTGGAGCTCCGGACCCCATCGTTCTGTAGTATGTACTCTTCGAGCCGGATCGATCTGTGAGGCTCCTGGGGCCCGAAAATGCGCGAAACGCCCGCTGTGAAAAAAATGCCTCGCCAAGATCTCAGGGTTTCCCTAATCTGAATCTCGCAGAACCGAACCCCATCCGCAGCGGCGTGGCCTGGGCCCCACCGGCCGATGTACCCCCCCTTATAGATGGGGGATGCGGGCCGCCCCCTTCGGGCTTCGAGGGGCGCATCCCCCACTGGGGTGGGCAGTTTGGTGGGGGCCTCGAGTGGGATGGGAATGCGGAGAGGGGGGGGGTCGGAGGAAAAATGTACCCCCCCTGCATGGGGGATGCAGGCCGCGCCCTTCGGGCTTCGAAGGGCGCATCCCCCACTGGGAGTGGGGGTCTCGAGTGGGAGCAGGGAAACAAAAAGTGACACAAACATAAAAACTCGGAGGTCCGCGCGGATTTTTCGGATCGGCGCTGGGGCACCCGAGCGGCGCCTCCGGCGCCGCCCCTGGCGCGCTCCGCGCGCCAGGGAGGGGGGCCCAGCGCCGATCCGAGAAATCCGCGCGGACCTCAGAGTTTTTATGTTTACGCCACTTTTTGTCCCCTTAGGGATGGGAATGTAGGGGGGAAACGAACCTACCTCGCTTTTGACCACCCTCGCTTCCAAGAGATACCAAACGATGCCAAACTACGGCCCGTACTGGTCAGGCCGCTTGACGAGGAGGCGCGTGGTATCACTTGGTTTTGCCTGGAAGCGAAAGCGGGGTAGATGCCTTGTTCACGGCTGTTGGAGGTTTCGTGTTGTGGAGGTTTGGGATCCTGGGTGGCATGCTCGAGGGGACAAGTAGGCGAAGATGAAGAGAAGGACGAGAACGAGGACCAGGAGGAGGAGGAGGACGAGGAGGAGGAGGAGGAGAAGGACAGGAGGACGACGGCGACGACGGTGGCGGCGGCCGTGCTGGCCGCACTTCCGCCCGGAGCGCCTCCGCGCGCGAGCCCCGCTGGAGAATGATGATGACGAGGACGAGGACGAGGAGCACGAGGAGGACGACGAGAAAGAAACAGGGAGGACGAGAAAGAGGGAGCAGGAGGAGGGGCGACGACGACGCTGGCAGCGGCGGCGGTGCTGGTCGCACCTCCGCCTGGCGCGCCTCCGCTCGCGAGCCCCGCTGGAGGAGGCGGAGGAGGAGGAAGAGGAGGAGGATGAGGAGGAGGACGACGACGAGGGGCATGAGGGATAGGATGGAGAGGGAGGAAGGAGGGAGGGGAGGAGGAGGATCAGGAGCTCGCGGAGGAGGGATGAGGAGGCGGAGGAGGGAGGAGGCAGAGAAGGAAGAGGGAGGCGGGGAAAGGGAGGAGGACGATGAGCAGGATGGGGGACGACGACGACGACGGCGGCGGCGACGATGGCGGCGGCCGCCGCGGTGGCCGCACCTCCACCCAGTGCGCCTCCGCGCGCGAGCCCTGCTGGAGGAGGAGGAGGAGGGGGAGGAGGAGGACCAGCAGCAGAAGGATGGCGAGGACGAGGAGGGGCAGGAGGGATAGGAGGGAGAGGGAGGAAGGAGGGAGAGAAGGATGAGGGAAGTGGAGGAAGGAGGAGGAGGCGGAGGGCGGAGGGGTGAGGGAGGGGCTAGAGAAGGAGGGAAGAGGGGGAAGAGGAAGAGGAGGAGGAGCAGGAGGGAAGAGGAACAGGAGGAGGAGGAGGAGGAGCAGGAGGACGGCGGCGGCGGCGGTTGTGCTGGTCGTACCTCCGCCCGTGGCGCCTCCACTGGCAGTGAATGTCTCCGCCCGAAGCGCGCGGGAGTTTGGAAAGTTGGAGGAGGGAAAGGAGGAGGAGGAGGAGGAGGAGGAGGAAAACGGAGGTAGGAGGTAGGAGGGCGAAGGAGGAAGAGGGAGGTAGGAGGCAGAGGAGGAGGAGTCAGGCAGGAGGGATGCAGATAGGAGGGCGGAGAAAGAGAGCGGGGGAGGGTAGGAGGGCGGGGACAAGGATGCAGGAAGGCGGAGGATGAGGCAGGTACGAGGGCGGGAGGTGGGTAAGTAGGAGGGAGGGAGGACGCAAGAGAAGGAATGCGCAGGGAATGATGGCGGGGGAGGACGAAAGGGAAAAGGGGTGAAGAGAGGAACGTGTGACGGGGATGACAGCTGTTGTCGTCGTCGTCGCCGTCGCCGTCGCCGCTCCCTTCCCTTTCCCTGGGCCCGTCGCCGCTGCCCCCACTTTCACCGGGCCCTCCTCCTCGAGCGCCAGCCACAGCGAAATTGAACAACGTTGTAGTTGAGTTTAAGGGAGGCCCCTTCCCTTTGATCCGTTCCCCGCCGGGGGGGGTGGGCCCAGGGGGGGGGTCGCGGGTGAGATGTGACGTAGCAAAAGTGCCCCAAGAGGCCCCCAAGAAGGTCCTCGAGGGCCCCGGGTCGCCGAAGTATCGGTCCAAGTCGCGATAGCCTCCAGACGGCGCAAGAGGTTTCCCAAACGCTCCAAGAGGCCTCCAAGAGCATTCTCAAAAGGGCCCAAAGGAGCAAAAGTCATAGATTTCAAATGGTTTTTGAGAGATTTCGGCGCTCTCGCTTTGTCAGCTTCCCGACGCTCCAAGACAGGCCAAGAGGCCCCCAAGACCTCCCCAAGATGACCCATGAGGCCTCCAAGGGGGCACCCAAACGACCCTAGAGGGCCCCAAGACCGCCCAAAAGGCCTCCAAGACAGCCGAAGAGACCCCCAAGACGGCTCCAAGAGTGAGCCCAGACGGGGGCCCGAACGGATACTTCGAGCCCTCGGCCTGAGCTCCCAGGAAGCCCCCGCAGGCCCGTAGAAGCTCCAAGAGGCCCCCAGGAGACCCCCAGAAAGCCCCAAGAGGCCCCCACGAGGCTCCCAAGCGGCCCCCAATAGCCTCCCACGAGGCCCCAAAAAGACCTCCAAGAGGCCCCCGAGAGCGCTCGTCGTCGTCGTCGTCGTCGCCCTCCAGGGTCGGCGGCACCGGCCGTAAGGCCTTCGCAATATGCGATTGGGATAACAGCTGAGGAGTTGCCAGGCGTGTCGGAGGCGAGACAGTGGGAGCAAGGATGAGAAAGAGAGAGAGAGAGACAGAGAAAAAGGGGGGGACACGTTGTTGTTTTCCCTTCTTATGTTCGTGAAGTCCTGGCGCACTCCCCGGACATGCAAAAATCGGGCGACAATATTTTTGAAAATATTGACGCCTGATTTTGGCCACCGAATCGGGTTTGGAAGAGGTTGGTTTAGCCTGTAACCGTGCCTTCCCGGCTCACTCCCAAAAGGAAAGGGAAAAGCGGCCGTCGATATGCTTGAAAATCTTGACGGCTGATTTTGGCCAGCGAATCGGGTCTGGAAGAGGGGAATAGGAATAGGTCGCGGACGAGGAGAAATCGAGACGAGGATGCCGAGGAGCATGGTCGGAGGGTTATTCTTAGGAGATAAGTGCAAAGAAGAGGCGGCAGACGAGCGGCGGGAGGGAGGGGGGGAAAAGGAAACGACCGTAGCGGAAAGGGGGAAAAGGAGGAGGAGGAGGAAAATAATAAGGAAAAAGAAAAGGAGGACCCAGCGTGCCAGCTCCCGCGCGTGCCTGCTCGTCCCCTTCCTCCTCCCCTCCCTCTCTCCCCTCCTCTCCCGCCCCCCTTCTCCCCCTCCCTCCTGCCCTCCCCCCCTTCCCCTCCTCGTCCTGCTCTTCCTGCTGCTGCGCCTCGCCCTGCCGGCAGCCCCGCCCGCCGCGCGATTCGGCCGACCTCTTCGGAGCACCGGCGCTGTTCGGATCAGCTTCGAAACAGCGGGCCGACGTGCGCGCGCAGGTGGGGCGGGAGGGCCCCCGTTCACTTCGGCATAGTGGCGCACAGCCTCTCCAGTTCCAGTTCCAACGCGAGGTAGGTGGCAGGTCGTTCGCATTGTGTATGCAGTAGGGCGCATGATTCGATCTGGTAGGTGTTAGACGCGACGTAGCAGATTTTCTGGAGATTCTACGGGGCGGGCGCCGCGGCTTCGACGCGTGCGCGTAACAGGCGTGGGCGGGCGGGCATTCGTGCACTTCTGCAGCAATGATGGGGCCCTTGGCGGGCCATCGCAGGCGTTGAAAGCTGCCGCCATCTTAAA